TCTTAGAGCACTTCCCATACTTGAAATTCCGAAATAGTTTTAGAGGGATTGATAATTATATTTTTGCATCACCTCAGCCGTGGAGTTCACCATACCCTATTTGCAATGGAAAACATGGAAATTATGGATTACATGGCTCATGATACTGCGAAAATGGGAATCAGTTCCCTTATGATCCTGAGTTAGCGAAATTGTATTTCCAAGATAAGTTGGAATATTGTCTTACCTGTAACACTTCAAGCAATAAATTCAAGTTCGCGATTGTGGCTTAGACCGGAGGAATTATGAAGAAAAAATATTCGTATATTATTTTGTTTCTTTTTTTTTAAATCTCGTGGGTGACTTATACAAAAGAAACTGCGCAGTTGATATCAGGAAAATTCTTGCTGAGATTTGTCTGAGTACTTTATTGAAATAAAAGTTTATTATATGATTAACTAGTAGATCCCGCTTCTATTAGTTGAAAGTGTGAAGAGTCTTCATGATTATCATATGATATAGCATGTATTGTGGATATGTTTCCTTTGCCTCAAGCTAGAATAGAGAAATATCGTTTGAAAAAATAATCGTGTATAATAGTTTACAATCATAGAATGGCATCATATACCCAGGGTTAGTTCCGCTCTATATAATTTATTTTAGCTCAATGTATTACAAATAAAAAATGTTTAAGGTACTGAGTGACCTATGAAATATAGTCAATTATTTTTCTCGTGGCGATTGGTAACAATCTTTTAAACCATATATACTAATTTTTTATTGCTTAAGCGTATATGCGTATTAATATAGGGTAATTTAGGAAATCTGGATTGGCAAATTATTGGGCAATAAAATTACCAGCGAAGATCCAGGGACTTATATTCTTAATCTTTCTCGTATATTCTCAAAATTATTACGTATATTATTATTAAAAGACCTCTTGATGATCTTTACATATGAATAGCGTTAAATTCTTTTATTGTTAAATTAAGGAGAGTCTGTTGATCAGATTTTTGTGATGCGATCATATTAACGTAATTTCTTCCAAAAGCGTATACAAAATTGATCCTGTGAATTACATATAAAAAGGTGATGTCCCAATTAGTAAATCTTTTTATCCTCCTTGTACAAATATAAGCAAGAAAAATTAAACAAAAATTCTAATAAAATTAATAAAATTTAAACCTACCATTATTTGCATCATTGATATTTACAATCAAACGAACCGTATATTCCACAAAATAATAATAAGGCATATTGGTTTTATTGCTCAGCTAGCTTTTAGAAGAACACCATCATCTTAATCGATTTTCATGCCTCTATAGATGTCCCAAAATAAATATTACTTTCTTATTATATATCGGCATTTTGATAGCTCCATCATTTCTGATTAACTATGTACTTGAAAAATTATTAATAAAGTTTTATCCACTTCAGGGCATTTGCATCAATTTTCTTTTCTTTGTAGAAAACCGTTATCATTGGTAACGATTAGAATCGTGTGACTTTGAAATCTAAGCTAAATGTCTTCAACCACCCAATTCAAAACATTCATGCGCAGTACCTTTAATTAAGCTTCTCCGAAGCTCCTTCCTCTCTGCAAGAAGAAGATGCTTCGGTAAAAATGGTTCCCTATATGCGAGTCTGAATGGCAAATAGTCATTTGATTGGCTCATTAGCATTTTCGATCGACCAAAATGACCAACGGTATTGGTGGTCCAATAGAATTTGTGATTAAAAATGCGACCAGGTTTGAACTGGCCTATTATTTGCTATTTCCCACAACTTTCGATTTGCCTACTTTTGCTTGATGTCTGTGAAACCTTGTTTAGACCCGGTAAATCTATATTTCGAGAGTACGCCTGTCTCAGAATGGTCGTATATGGGATTTTTAGAAGCACTGAAAACTAATTGTGTCTCTGAAGTTCGTTCGCTGGCTGACCAAAAATCTATATGGAGGAAACGATATCTTACATATTTAAGTAACGTTCTTATCGAGGAACAGGATGGTATTAATAAAGAGCGTGTAACTTTTCTGATTCAACAGGTTTGTCAATTTTCTCTTCCGCTTTATCTCTGAACCATCAAGGGTGA